CTTACTGGATTCACAGAAAAATTTGTACACAAATGTTTATAGCAGCATTAACAGCCAAAAAGTAGAAATAATCCAAATGCTCATCAACTGATAAATAGATGAACGGGAGGTGGCATATCAATATGATATGAATATAATTTGTCAATAAAAAGGAATGAAGTACTGATACACGCTATGACATGGGTGAACCTTGAAAACATTATTCTAAGTGAAAGAAGCCAGTCATAAAATACTACACATATCATTCTAGTTATATGAAATGTCCCAAATAGGCAAATCTATGCAGACAGAAATTAGATTAGCAGCTGCTTAGGGCTGGGGGTATGGGAGGATAGAAGGATTGATAGCTAAAGGGTATGGAATTTCTTTTTGAGGTGATTAAAATGTTCTACATTTGACTATGGTGATGGTAACACATATCTGCAAATATAATAAAAACCACTGGATTCTACACTTTAAATGGGTGAATTGCACAACAATGTGAATTTTATCTCAAAAAAACTGTTTAAAAATCAATCAATAGGATAAAAATTTACTTGCTAAGGAAAATCATACCTAATTAATATTTTAGAATATTTTGTAGGAGCAAATAGGCATATGTAAATAAAGGATAAATGATTTACTCTACTTTTATCCCTAAGAAGCCACAGGTGAAGAGTGCATGCCAAATGCTTTTCTGAAACCAACACTGCATGGGATGGGGTGAAGAAGAGGATCATTTGTCTTAGAAAAGAAATGATTTGGAAACACAAAACAAATACAATGGTAAAAGTATAAAAAGGAGGAATCTTCTGGGATGGATGCTAAAACCTGCCCTATTTGTTATTTTTTTCAGCAATCTGAAGGAGAGAACCTGTGATAAGACCTCCTTGTTTTTATATAACTAAATTTTTCAAGAAAGGAAAAGACAAACCAAGGGAGATAAAATACAGAAATATATTTCCAGTTGATTTAGGTAAGCAGAGAAGTGACAGCTGAATTTTAACACAGGCACATGCCAAGTAATTCATTTAGGGAGATGGATGGATGGATGGACGGATGGATGGATGAATGGATGGATGGAAATAGATATAGAGTCTATGGCCCTAGCAGCCTGATGGCAGCGCATCTTGTCTGGTCTTGGAAGCTAAGCACGGTCGGAAATAGATATAGATAGTGCCTTGAGCTACTGGTGACAATTTACAACTTAGAAAAGATAATTTGGAGTCATTAAGGATTCTAATTTCATACTGAATTGGAAAAATGATAGGTCTAATTTAATGACAGCATTTTAAGAAACCAGGCTTGTCACATAACCTTTTAAGAAATCCCATGACTTACTTCTCTGATATAAAGAAAAAAAAGTAAAGGAAGAAAAAAAGAAGGAAGGAAGGAAAGGAGGGAAGAAACGAGGAAGGGGGAAAGAAAAAAAGAAAACTTATACATTGATCATCCAATGGTTGGGTGTGTGACCCTCCTTTGGGTATGGGTATTTGTTATTGTGTCAGTCATGGTAAATCATTAAAAAAAAAATCGCAAGGTAGTAGAAAATTTCTCATTATTGTAGATAAGGGCTTGAATTCATTGATAAATTACTTAAGAGGTCTCTTTTAGCTGGAATTTACATCATAAATTCCAGCTTTATTGTTGTTTCTTTTTTTTTTAAAGATTTTATTTATTTATTTGACAGAGAGAGACATAGCGAGAGCAGGAACACAAGCAGGGGGAGTGGGAGAGGGAGAAGCAG